TATTTAATATTTATATATATATATATATATATATATGTAGATATATATATATGTATACATATAGATCAAATGCATCATTCAGTTAATAAATCCACCGCTTATTCATTGCCTAAGCAACAGAAACAAGATGAAAAAGAAGAAATAAAGAAAACAGAAGAAGATAAAATAATTAGTGTTATACTTAATTATTATGTGACTTATCCCATGAGACGCCGCCAAAGAAGTTCTAACACTGAATGGGTATTTTAAATTTTAGATTTTTTAAATTTTTATTTGATCATAATAAATAAAATTTAATTAATTTTATTTTCTTGCAATACATAACAGTGTATTGTGGATAATTAATTTTATTTTCTTGCGATACATAACAGTGCATTGTAGATAACATAGATAATTATTAATTCTGGAAAACGTATAAATGAAAAAAATGTATCGACAAATAATAATTTCTTCCTGCGTTTGATTGCTAATTTATTAATGAATATCCAAAATAATATTTATAAATCAAATATTTATGAAATATTTAAAAAAATCAAAAAAATACGATTAAATAAGTTTAGTATTTTTTATAGATCCTTATTGAAAAAGGTCTCAAGACAATACCCATCTGTGAAAATTTCTTCTCATTTGATAAAATCCATACTGCAATGTATCATATGAAAGACGACATTACGAAAACACCTTGTAATCAGGTAATAAGAAAATATATTAAGTATAATTGTTATTCTATATATTAATAAATAATTTCAATAAATAAACAACAATAGATCATTAGATTGACATAAACTACATGCAATAAATTAATTAATAAAAATTTCAACATTAATATAAATAATTGTCATATATTACAGCAAGATTATGTAATTGATCCACATTATAATGTAAACTACTGTGAGGAATAGCTTCACAAACTATCTTTAACAAATAACGTATGATTATTTTAGAGCCTACGTTTGCTTGCTAACAAGGGTTTCAATATCTACCTGAAGAAAGAACTTTTTCAACGTATGAATAGTATTAAAATTCGCGGTGTGATTTACACATTGCTAAATCTCCCACCATTCTATAAAAATACAGGCGTAGTAACAATTTCAAGAGGCAATCTCGCTTCCATTCTTTGCCATTATGGACACATGTTGAACATTCCAATGACAGTAGTGATACCGCAATATATGGACGATGAAAGAAATAAATTATTAAATCAATATAAGGATTTATCTATAAATGTGATCGCTTACGGTCGCAATATGTTGGAAGTTCACGAATTCGCAATAGCCCTTGCCATTTCATCTAAATTATTTTATCTTGATCTGTACGTTTTTTAATTCAAAATCTAATTTAAGATAAAATATATACACTCTTTAAAAACAAAATATTTTCACACAATTATTCCTAGTATGCGATAGACATTTTTTATTATATAAAAATTAAGTAAAATATAAAATATTATTATTATTTTAAGAATTGCTTGCTTTGCTAATAATTGTATCCAATTTTTTCTTGAATTATACATTGAATGATTCATAAATAATTTATATTTTCGTTTAGAAATGATCATCCATATATGATTATTGGTCAAGCCACTATGGGATTAGAAATGATGCGACAGGTACATGATAATATTGATGCGGTGATATTGCCGACAACAATTGATGGTTGCAATTTAACAGCGGGTATTGCCCTAGCTATCAAAGAACGTAATTCAAAGGTGCAAGTTATTGTAAGTTAACAAATATTTTTTACAATTGCTAATTTATCGAATATTATCGTTTTACATTTCTATTTAATGTAATTTAGATACGAAATGTACTGTATATTCACATTATATAAATTTACAATTTACGTGTTTACTTTTAAGGAAGTTCAAGTAGTTGCTATTGACTATTGGCTACAAAAAGTTAGAAGCAGAACAACTTTATGTAATGAATTAAACTTTAGACCAGTAACAGAATATAAAGCTTGTGCTCTTGAAAATTTACCGAATTGCCTAATCGATGAGGTTATTACGATAGATCAAACGATGATAACTGATGCGTTCGAATGTCTATCAAAATCTGAAGGTCTCCGTGACTATCATGCAGCGATTGCTTTAGCACCAATTTTAACTGGTCAGCTCGACAAACTAAAGGGAAAAAGGTAACAAAATTTCTTAAATTCATTGATTCTTCTCTCCAAATTCATTAAATCTGAGGGATGATGTATTGATATGTTATATGACAATAAGATGCATATATAGACTGTTATTTATTTAATAAAATTATAATTTTATTTTAATCAAATTCAAAGTTTAAATCATATTTTTTTGCGTATGTAAGCGTATTAATACCTCTATACGGCGTGACGGATTCATTTATTAACTGATTGAATGACATCAATTTTTTTCTTGGACGAATTGAACAAAGTATAAGGAAAGATGAAGTATAAAAAATATTATTAATGTCTGTGTATTGTAAGCGTATCCAAATAATTTGCAAAATAAAAGTAAGAAACAAATCACACAAAAAAAGTAAATTTGATCAACATTATAAAAGAAAACTGTTTCAATAATGACGTTCATGCACTGAAGCTGAGAATATATATATATATATAAAATATTATCTGTAATATATAATAATTAATACATATATACAATATATATATATTATATATATAATAATTAATATATATATTATAGTGTATATATTAATTATTGTATATATTATATATATAATGTATGTATATATATATATATTACACACGTACACATTATATATACATATATATATATATATATATATGCATATTACACAGTATTACATAGTATGTTGTATACTAAATAATATTAAAATATATTAATACACGAAAACGATTGTTATCTGTTATCCTTTCCTGTGCGTTCTGAAGAGTAAATGAAAAATGAATTTCTATGTCACGTTATCAAAAAATAAACGGTATTTAATAATATACTCATTTTTATTAAATATTGCACAATTTTCTTATTTAATTTAAATACATTCGAGAATTTTATATAGTTTTAATTTAGTATCTTTTTGTAAATGTATTAAAATATGAAATTGAAATAATTTATCATTTGAAGTCTTAAAAAAAGATTAGAACGATTAAAACAAAGTACGATATAACAATATATACAATAAAACTTATTGAAATTAGCACTGTCATGTTTTTATAGTAAAATTTGTGAGATATAAACCTTATAAACTGAAAATAAATATGAAAAAAAAATGTTAAATTAAAATAAAAAGATTTAATTTCTTGGAAAGTAGAAATTATGTAAAATGTAAGAAAAAACATTAGATCAAAGAAATATGTCTCATACAATTATTTTTCTGTTTTATCTTGTGTATCTTGATATTTATTAAATTTTGTTTGTTTTGATTGCAAAATAAATAAAGACAACATAACTGTCGCGGAGGAAGTAAATATAAATAAACTTTAAAGACGAGTAAGTACTGTATCGTTATTATTAAGACTGTCTGCGAAAAAGGGATTAGTTTATGAAAGATATTAAACCAAGTTTGACTTTAGTCTTCTACGTAGATTAATTGTGTAGTCTCATTATAACTGATTTTCATATATACATATATGGATATATATATGTATACGTATAAATCTAATGCATTATTCAGTTAGTAAATCCATCGCTATTTATTGCCTAAGAAACGGAAACAAAGTGAAAAAGAAAAAATAAAGAAAAGTAGAGGATAAAATGACTAGTGGTGTAATCTGTACGTTTAATTATAATGTGACTTGTCCCATGAGACGGCGCCAAAAATGTTCTAAAACTAAATGGGTATTTTAAATTTTAGATTTTTTTTAAATTTTTATTTGATCATAATAAATAAAATTTAATATTTTCTTGCAATACATAACAGTGTATTATGTACAGTATAAAATGGATAATCATTAATTCTGGAAAATATATAAATAAAAAAACGTATCAACAAATAATAATCATATTTATAAAATATTTAATAAAATCATAAAAATGTTATTTTTCTGATTTATTTAAATAAGTTGAATATTTTTTATAGATCATTATTGTAAAAGGTCTCAAAACAACATTGATCAGTGAAGATTTCTTCTCATATGATAAAATCCATATTGGAATGTGTAAAATGATAAACGATATAACGAAAACACCTTGTGACAAGGTAATAAAACAATATATTAAGTATAATTGTTATTCTATATATTAATAAATGATTTAAATGATATAAACTACATGCAATAAATTAATAAAAATGTTAACATTAACATAAATAATTGTTACATATTATAGCAATATTATGTAATTGATCTACATTATAATGTAAAATACTGTGAGGAATAGCTTCACAAACTATCTTTAACAAGTAACGTATGATTATTTTAGAGCCTACGTTTGCTTGCTGACAGGGGTTTCAATATCTACCTAAAGAAAGAACTTTTTCAACGTATGAATAGTATTAAAACTCGCGGTGTGATTTACACATTGCTAAATCTCCCACCATTCTATAAAAATACAGGCGTAGTAACAATTTCAAGAGGCAACCTCGCTTCCATTCTTTGCCATTATGGATCCAAGTTGAACATTCCAATGATAGTAGTGATACCGCAATCAATGAATGATGAAAGAAATAAATTATTGGCTCAATATAAAAATTTACCTATAAACGTAATCGCTTATGGTCGCAATATGTTGGAAGTTCACAAATTCGCTGTATCCCTTGCCATTTCGTCTAAATTATTTTATCTTGATCTGTACGTTTTTTAACTCAAAATCTAATTTAAGATAAAATGTATGCATTCTTTAAAAACAAAATATTTTCACACAATTGTTCCTAGCATACGATAGACATTTTTTATTATATAAAAAATAAGTAAAGTTATATTATTATTATTTTAAGGATTTTTTGCTATGCTAATAATTGTTTTCAATTGTTTTTTTTTTAATTATTCATTGAATGATTCATATATAATTTATATTTTTGTTTAGAAATGATAATCCGTATATGATTATTGGTCAAGCCACTATGGGATTAGAAATGATGCAACAGGTACATAATATTGATGCGGTGATATTGCCAACAACAATTGATGGTTGCAATTTAACAGCGGGTATTGCCCTAGCTATCAAAGAACATAATTCAAAGGTGCAAGTTATTGTAAGTAAAAGATATTTTTTACAATTGCTAATTGAATATTATCGTTTTCTATTTAATGTAATTTAGCTATGGAATTGTAGTTATTATATATTCACTTTAGATAAATTTAAAGTTTACGTGTTTACTTTGAACTTTTAGGAAGTTCAAGTCGTTGATGTTGATTATTGGATAGAAGAAGTTAGAAGCAGTACAACTTTATGTAATGAATTAAATTTTAAATCATTATTTGCAACAGAGCGTAAAGCTTGTATTCTTGAAAATTTACCGGATTGCTTGTTCGATAAGGTTATTACGATAAATCGAAGAATGAGCACTAATGCATTAAAATATCTGTCAAAATCTGAAGGTCTCCGTGACTATCATGCAGCGATTGCTTTAGTACCAATTTTAACTGGTCAGCTTGACGAGTTAAAGGGAAAAAGGTAACGAAATTTCTTAAATTCGTTGGTTCTTACTTAAAGTCATTAATTTTGTGGTAATGTATTTATATGTTATATGACAATAAGATGCATATATAGACTGTTATTTATTTAATAAAATTATAATTTTATTTTAATCAAATTCAAAGTTTGAATTATAATTTTTTGCATATGGAAGCATATTAATACCTCTATACGGCGTGACGGATTCGATTACTTCGATTCACTTGTTTGAATGACATGAATTTCTTTCTTGGACGAATTCAACAAAGGAAGGATGAAGTATAAAGAATTACTAATGTCTGTAAGTGTCCAGATAATTTGCAAAATAAAAGTCACACATTTGCAAAACAAGAATCACACAAAAAAAAATAATGAATTCGATCAACATTATTAAAGAAGACTGTTTCAATAATGACGTTCTTGAACTAAAAACTGAATATATATATATATATAATATATAAGATTACATATAATATATAATAATTAATATATATATATAATATATATATATAATGTATATATATATATATATATTGTATATATATAATATATATATATATTTATACATGCATACATTATATATATATATACATATACATATATATATATATATATGTATATATATATATATGCACTTTACATATATATTACATATATATTACATAGTATGTTATGTATATTAAAAAATATTAAAATAAATTATAATTATTAAAATAAATATTAAAATAAATACACGAAAACAATTGTTATCTGTTATCCCTTCTGTGCGTTCTGAAGAGTAAGTGGAAAATGAGTGTCTATGTCACGTTATCAAAAAGTAAACAATATTAATGTGCTCATTTTTATTAATTATTGCACAATTTTCTTATTTAATTTAAATACATTTGAGAATTTTACATAGTTTTAATTTAGTATTTTTTTTTTGGTGTATTAAAATATGAAATTGAAATAATGTATCATTTGAAATCTAAAAAAAAGATTAGAACGATTAAAACAAAGTACGATATAACAATATATACAATAAAACTTATTGAAATTAGCACTGTCATGTTTTTATAGTAAAATTCATGAGATATAACCCTTATAAACTGAAAATAAATATGAAAAAAGAAAATGTTAAATTAAAATAAAAAGATTTAATTTCTTGGAAAGTAGAAATTATATAAAATGTAAGAAAAAACATTAGATCAAAGAAATATGTCTCATACAATTATTTTTCTGTTTTATCTTGTGTATCTTGATATTTATTAAATTTTGTTTGCAAAATAAACAAAGATAACATACTGTCGCGGAGGAAGTAAATATAAATTTTAAAGACGAGTAAGTACTGTATCGTTATTATTAAGACTGTTTGTTGTCTGCGAAAAACGGATTAGTTTATGAAAGGTATTAAATCAGGTTTGACTTTATTCTTCCATGCAGATTAATTAGTCTCAGTAGTTGATTTTCATATAGATTTTTATATAGATAAAATGCATTATTCAACTAGTATGGTCACTATTTTTTCATTGCCTGAGAAACAAAAAAAAAGAAGTGTATCGTTCAGTTAGTTCACTGTTCACTGTTTTTACATTGTCTGAGGAACAAAAAAATGATGAAGAAAAAGAAACAGAAGAAACAAGAAAAATTAGTAACGTTAAGCGTGCGTTTAATTATGATGTGGTTTGTTCCATGAGACGGCGCCAAGAAAGTTCTGAAATCGAATGGGTATTTTAAATTTTAGATTTTTTTAAATTTTTATTTAATCACAAGAAATAAAATTTAATATTTTCTTGCTCAATAATTAACAGTGTATATATCGTGGATAATTATTAAGTCTGGAAAATGTATCGACAATAACAATTTCCTCCTTCCGTTTGATTGTTAATTTATTAATGAATATTTAAAATAACATTTGCAAATTAAACATTTATAAAATATTTAAAAAAGTAAAAAAAATGCAATTAGACAATTTAGTGTTTTTTTTATAGATCATTCTCGAAAAAGATTTTAAAGCAACTTTTACCTTCTTGTCTGAAATTTCACAAAATTTCTTCTCGGATCATAGAATCTATGTTGTAATGCATAATATGCAAGGTTACATCAAGGAAACGCCTTGTTATAAGATAATAAGAAATAAAAATATAATTGTTGTTCTACATATTAATAAATAATTTCAATAAATAAACAACAATAGATCACTAAATTGACATAAACTACGTGCAATAAATTAATAAAAATTTCAACATTAATATAAATAATTGTCACATATTATAGCAAAATTATATAATTAATCCACATTATCACATTATTACATTGATTACATTGGTTACAATGTAAAATATTGTAAAGGATGGCTTTACAAATTATCTTTAACAAGTAACGTATGATTATTTTAGAGCCTACGCTTGCTTGCTGACAGGGGTTTCAATATTTATCTGAAGAAAGAACTTTTTCAATATATGAATAGTATTAAAACTCGCGGTGTGATTTATACATTGTTAAATCTCCCACCATTGTACAAATACAGAGGCGTAGTAACAATTTCAAGAGGCAAACTCGCTTCCATTCTTTGTCATTATGCATACAAGTTGAAGATTTCAATGATAGTAGTGATACCGCAATCAATGAAATATGAATATGAAAGAAATAAATTATTGTATCAATATCAAGATTTACCTATAGATGTGATTGCTTACGGTCGCAATATGTTGGAAGTTCACAATTTCGCTGTATTTCTTGCCATTTTGTATGGTCTATTTTATCTTGATCTGTACGTTTTTTAATTCAAAATTTAATTTAACATAAAATATATACTCTTTAAAAAACATAATATTTTCACTCGGTTACTCTCAGTGTGTGATAGACATTTTCTATTATGTAAAAATTAAATAAAATATAAAATATTATTATTACTAAGGATTAATTGTTTTGATAATAATTTTTCCAACTTTTTTGAATAATTTACGTTATTTTTCGTTTAGAAATGATCATCCCAATATGATTATTGGTCAAGCAAGCCACCATGGGATTAGAAATGATGCAACAGATAAATAATAATATTGATGCGGTGATATTGCCGACAACAATTGATGGTTGCAATTTAACAGTGTGTATGGCCTTAGCTATCAAAACACGTAATCCAAAGGTGCAAGTTATTGTAAGTTAACAGATATTTTTTACAATTCGTAATTGATTATTATCATTTTATATTTCTATTTAATGTAATTTAGAAAAGGAATGTATTGTATATTCACTTTAGATATAAATTAACATTTACGTGTTTACTTTTAGAAAGTTCAAGTCGTTGATGTTGATTCTTGGATAAAAGAAGTTAGAGACAGGACAACTTTATGTAATGAATTAAACTAGAATTCTCATTTCGATATGCTTACGAATCGTGAATCATATCAGTTAATAAGCGTAATTTATTATTACATAAAATATTTTATTTCGTAAGATATAATAACATTTAGTTTAAAAAAATGTGAAGAAATGCGGAACGACGCGCACCACGACTTATCCGTACGAACGCCGATGAATGAATGATAGCACGTCAATCACTTATAAACATGACTCGCCCATGGTGTTACATCATGGACTCGCTGTATGTATGAATGTATGTACACAATGGAGTGCGCTACGCGCCGCGTAAACATTTCTCAAATCAGCCCCATCAATGACTACGACGAAATATTTCACAATATTACAAATAATATCTAACTTACACGAAATTACATCTTTTAATAACCGAACATTATTAAATAACGTGTGTATATATATTTCATTAGAGAGTATATCGTTTCGATATACTTGTTAATCATTAATCTGGCAGTTCATTCACTCATTCAAATCAGCGGTGGAATGTTGATTAAAAATCGACGATAATTGCATCACATATCATCCAACGGTAATATTAATATTATTAATAATATATTAATAACACACGCAATAGTCGTCGATTCACAAGCATATTCGCGAAACGATACTCTCTGAATGAAATATCTACATATATACATTATTTAATATTCGATTATTAAAAACTATTTCACGTAAGTTAGATATTATTTGTAATATTGTTGAATCATTAATAATAATGGTGCGATAGGTAGGCTTCTTCGTGTTTGGGATGCGAAACCCCCCTCGGAATACTCAGCCCCTCCGCCACGTCAAGGCCGTACCTATCGGAGGGGGTTATCATTTACAAAAAGTCATAAATTTTTCAAAGAAATAAATCGCGCGACATATGCATATACGTACTTATTAAGAAGATATTGTTTCGATACGTTTATGAATAGTTAATCAATCGTTGATAAGCATTTATCTGTTATATTCGCATGATATTTGGCAACGTTTTGTAATCATTTATCAATGAAAGAATACGATATATGAGGAAACGCGGAGCGATACGCGCCGCTACCTATTCGTACGAACGCCAGATAAAAAATGATAACACGTGGAACGCACGTAAACACGACGCGCGCTGCCGTACAACACGTACAGCCGCGGCACGTAAACAGTTTTGAAGGCCGCGATATTTATCTCTTTGTATCTTCTTCAGTTTGAATTGTGTAAATTTGCGTCTGAGTAGTTGCAGTTTTTAAAGTTGTTAAATTATGAGTTGTTGAATTATGAAAATTCTAACAAGTAGTATTAAAAAGATAATAAGGTAAAATAGATAAATAGATAATTAAAGGGGTGTTTGTTAATAATTGCTCGTTATTAATTAAATTTGCAAAATATATAAATATAGTGAAATATCCCTCTAATTAAAATGAGAAAGATAATAATAGAATATATAGATTCTCATGTTCATAGAATAATGAAAAGACATATTATTAGAGTGTATATAATTAGTGTTAGAATTATAAATATAGGTTTATATGCATGACGGAAAGTAAATAGTAATGTTGATAAATTAAAATTAATCTACAACGTGTGCCAAACGAGATATTCGACAATAGTACGAATAATATCTAACTAATACAAGGCTTTACAACGTCTTTTGATAACTCAGCTCATTAAATGCTGTAATCGTTACGTTCTAAATGTCCACGATTTTGTGAGACAAGGCGGATAGAGATTGATCGTCCCTCTTTAACTAACTCCTGCATATATAGCACGGAACAAAATCAACAAAAATTGTAGAACATAGCACGAATGAGAACCACACAATCGTGGATGTTACCTACAGGA